AAACTGAACGATATAAGAACAGTTTTATCCCAAAGTGTGTTAGAAACTGGGACCGACCATAGACATAACAAAATATTTTATAGTACATATCATTAATATAGTTTATATTATAGTAGTTTTAAATTGAACTTTTTTATTAAAAATTTTAATACTATCTATGTAATATCACGTTTTTTAAATTTTTATTAATTTACAATGTGGTAATTATTAAAATCAATCAATCAATCTCTATTATTATTATTATTATTATTATTGTTTGTCGAAAACGATAATCTTCATATCGCCGATTCTTTTGAGCGTCGAAGTAAGCCTTTAGTTTTTGTTTCGCGATGTCGTAGTCAGTATCGGTTCCTGTCTCGAGAATTTGTTTAAAAATCTCTCGAACTCTCCGTCCAGCTTGATATAGCAACTGTAAACGTTTTCGCTTTGAATCCGTTATTCCACTTGTGGTTAGATACATTTCAAAGTCTGACTGCCAATTGTTCTATCTTGTCGAAAGGCTTGTTCCGATTTTTGCATCTGGGCAAAATTCTGGCATTGGATTTTTTCTTACAGATTGCATGATCTGTACAGCCGTTCGCTGCTGTTGTTGAGGCTCTGAATCGTTTATTCCAATCTTTCTGATTGGTTCATTTTTATCATGTGATCGCTTTTGTATTCACTAGTATAAAAGCACAATGTGTTTTTCCCGACCCACGCTATTAAACCGTCAAAAGTTTGTTCTATTTTTTAGTAGTTGCGTCATGCACAAGAGCCCGCAAATTCTAGCTGTTAATTTTAGTTATCGCATAACCTCATTTCATCAACGATGTTGCGAAGGACAGACATGATGCACATATTGCATGTCATGCTGCATGTGCAGATTTGTTCATGCTTAAAAGAAATTTTTGTACTGATTGGGCGCTTACAAAAATGACTGTTTCACCAGATCAGTGGTCTCACCTGTGTTGGCGGCTCAAGAGGAGTTGCACCTAATTCTCCATCTTGTGGAGATCCACTGGACACTTCAGTTTCACATCTGGCATCACATCTTCTATGAAGCTAAAAGAAAAAATAATTTGTCTGCATGATTTTACGCACAGTATAAAATTACAGGGCCCGACTGTTAGCGTAACTGTTACGTCATTCACTGGCATAAGAATCGCCCAAGATGTGGAAAGCCTCCACCCTCTTCGGAATATAGCGGCCAAGGCTTTCAAAATAGATCAATGATATGCATGTTCATGACCAGCATGCAGGGCCATTTGTAACTGGGCCATAAGGCCATACGAGACTAACTGTTAAGAGAAGCATGGTTCTTTCATATTTGATGAATAAAAGTGTTTTGTTTTATAAAATCGTACGAAATAGAATCGTGTATTTTATGGAAATAATCCCAGGGTAACATCTGGTGGCAGCGGTGGGATATAATTACAAGTAAATACGCGATTTTTATGGGAAAATGAAAGGAAAACGATAAGTTTTGTGTGTATATATATATATATATATATATATATATATATATATATATATATATATATATATATATATATATATATATATATATATATACACACACACGATAAGTTTTGTGTGTATATATATATATATATATATATATATATATATATATATATATATATATATATATATATATATATATATATATATATACATACACATACACATACACATACACATACATACATATACATATATACATATATACACATATACACATATATATACATATACACATACATATACACATATACACATACATATACACATATACACATATATACATATACACATATACACATATACACACATACACACATACACACATACACATATACACATATACACATATACACATATACATATATACACATATATACATATATATATATATATATATGCATATATATAAATATATATATATATACATATATGCATATATATATATATATATATATATATATATATATATATATATATATATATAATATATATGCATATATATAAATATATATATATATACATATATGCATATATATATATATATATATATATATATATATATATATATATATATATATATATATATATATATATATATATATATATATATATATATATATATAAATATATATATATATACATATATGCATATATATATATATATATATATATATATATATATATATATATATATATATATATATATATATATATATATATATATATATATATATATATTATTAGCACATATCCTTTGTGCAACCAATCAAATTTGAGATTTTTGGCTATGCAAATTTTATAACTAATTGAATACCGGTATAAGCTCGTTTACGTCCTTAGATGAAGGTCAACTAGTACATCGTGACTTCTGCAAGATGCATTTAGTGTCTGTGAAAATATGATTGATAATACTTTATCCGTTTTGGGCTTGGACTCGAAATATTTAAGACCCGGACTCGAAAATTGGAGCCGTACTCTTTGAGTCCTATACATTCGACAACTTGGACTCGTACTCGAATGTATAGGACTCGAACTTGTATGGACTTGGACTCGTATTAAGTTGTGGACTTGACTACAACAGCGATGACCTAACAGTATGATTATGGCAATAAAGTACGGATCACTGACATCATTACTGCATTATTTCAACACTGCAGTTGCAAAGAACTCTCCAGGTTATGAACAGGCAATTCTTGGAAGGGAATTCAATGAGAAAAAGGAAATTTCGGGTTCTAAGGAAGGAAATATGTGGGGTTTTTTTTGGAAGTGGAAATTCGAAAATTTCTGGGAATCAGAAAAAAGCGAGTTATAATAAGACTGGCAAAACAGACTGGCTACCCATTTTATAGCTTTTTGTCGATATTCTAAGCCAAAAATAGCATGCAGGCTGCAATTTCACACTAACATTTGTACGTCAAATTTGTACGCCTATCTTTTCATTCAGTGCTGATCAGATAATTTTTTGGCGTGAACGAAACGTAAAAGTCGGAGGCGTCCAGTATATTATGTTAACTTTCATTGGAAAACATATGATGCAAAGCCAAAGTAGAAAAATTGTAGGTCAAAAGACACTAAAACTAGCTTGGTTTACAATTTTTGAAAATATTATTGTAGGACAGAAAGAAATCTTCGAAGAAATATTAATTCGGAGCTTGCATACCTTTCAAGATGAAACTAATAGAACAAAGTCTCGCAGAGTATTTTAATACAATGAATATATGAGCCATATTAGGCTACCATAAGCTGGACTAATATTGTGCGTTTTAAAATATAAATACAATGGTCAACATTTTAACGATCTCAATTCAATCTATAAATTAACCTTGACCATGGTTGTTTCAGTCTAATAGCACTAAACAATAAGCATGAGAAATATGCAGTTAACTTTACTCAAAAACTTATGGCAACATAATATATGCGCCTAGCCTCATATATGCAAGCATCACCTTGAGATTGGCGGGCACGAAATCCAACCAACCATGGTGAACCACGAGATGCCTGCGGGGGTTGATATGCGCCCACAGTGGCTCAAAATATTGGGTAAAATTACTGAAATTTATGAGCAACTTTACTCATTTCTTGAGTAATGTAAATATTTACTTCAAAAATTGAGGAGCTTAACGTTTATGGAGTCACTGTGAGGTAAAATAAATACCACGCGCACCAATATAGTAAACGTAATGTAATGGATATTATAGTGTACTGCAAAGTCAACTGGATACCTCCATATATACATATATAACACTCCAACACTAACACTAACCTTAAACCTAACCCTAACCTATATTGGTGCGCGAAACATGGAACGATACCCGGAAGTTTGCAGTGATGGCTATAGTAATTCAGTCTAATAAGCTAAGCTTGGTAAACGATTTATAGTTAATTAAAAAGTGAAAATTAATGTACAGCATTTATTAATCCATGAACCTAATCCTTATTCCGTGGCCAATTCAATATTGTAAACTAAGCATAATAAACTATTCATATTGAAAATTAATATGGAAACTATCTTAATGCATGTACTGTATGTAATCCTTAAAATCAATATACTCTTTAATCCGTAAATTTGTACACAAAGTTGGTGAAATCTTTCCCCACACCAGACACGCAGTCATCAGAGGCGCCGTATTTATCATATTCAATGAAATCTCGCGAACCCCAACACTCCCCATAAAATTGCACTGCAAAATACTGAATAGAGAACAAAAATATAGTTAATTTTAGTTAGAAATTTGTGAAGGCCGGAAATTACTCAACAGCTGTATAGTATTGTGGCATAAAAAATTCTTGTTGCTCACCTTGTATCCCTGTTCATGTGCAGTACAGGCACATTCTCTGACAGTTTTCTGCATATCATACCAGTCTATCTTATCTCTAAGATTCACAATCAAATCTGGCAATGCTCTCTTGTAGCGATCGTTGAAGCACCCTAACCGTTCCACACCTGTATGGTTGAAAGATGCGTTTATGCAAAGTGTAAATAAAGTTAGTAATTCAATTTAGGTTTCCATCTATAGTTACACTGGACCAACAAGAGACGATATTAAGCATCGTCGTATAAGCTACATGGATTAAGTACTGCATGTGTAATAAACGAGCAGGAGTGTTTTATTAGTGTGACGTAAAGTCAGTCACGTCTTGAACATTCCTAATTTAAGACATTATGTCGTTATGCTGAGTCATGGTTTTGCTATATTTATCGTTTACGTATTATCTAAAAATAGTATTTATGTAATGTTCTATTAATATCTTTCGAATAGTACATATAAAGCAGAGAAAGATTAAGCTATAGGAATATAGTTTTGAGAATTAAAAAAGTTTAGAGATAGTTGTTGTTGTCCAAGAAGAATTGTTATTGTTGGATTTATTGTCGTCGTAAAGTTCATAAGACTAAGAAGAAGGATATTCCAAATACGAGAAAGCCTCCTTGGCCAGCGCGTGTCGCTGTGTCTGGTCAAGGAGGGCAACGATCGTAAAGAAGATGGAGATGCAGACATTTTTGTTCGTTCTGGCCCGCGAACGTAACAAATGGGGGCTCAGGCGGGAATGTGACAACGGGAATACAACAACGGGAAGATAACGAGAAAACGAGAGACGTAAAACGAACTTAAAAATTGGATATAACGGGAATCCATTCTCTCGGATGAGAGCGGTTGCTTTTGTTGAAGTTTGGTGATTGTTCTTTTGGTGTTACATTATTGATGGATTCTTTTCAGTTTTAACGTCATGCAGTTCAAATTTGTCGACTTAACCAGAGGCTGAAGTACAAGAGTGCAACGCTGGAGGTTCACTGCGTCTTCGTCAAAAGGTTTCTGCTAAGATTGTGCCTAACGTCTACTCAGTGATGCCTGACAGTGGGGAAAGATTTTGTATTATTGACCACATGTTAGTGGTTTGTTTGTGGTTTGTTCCACTGGTTTATTACGAAGTTGTAATAGTTTGATAATCTCCCGTAAGTTAAAGTAATAATTATTATTAAAGAGTAAAATGTTGTTAAATTTAAAATTAAAAAGGGAGTATGTAATTTATAATATTTTGAAGATGTCGTTCTTCTGTTGTTGAATCTTCCCTATTTTGTTATACTGTTGCTAGAGTTTAAGGACGCTATTCTTATTGTATTCATGAGTTTTCTCAAATTTAATTTTATATAGAGTATTTTAGAGTATAATTATAACATTTAAAGAACAATCATTTGATATGCATATGTACGAACAGTTAACGGAAGTTCTAGCAAACTTTCTTTTTTCAAGAGGGGGAGTGTGACGTGAAGTCAGTCACGTCGTGAACATTCCTAATTTAAGACATTACGTCGTTATGCTGAGTTATGGTTTTGCTATATTTATCGTTTACGTAATATCTAAAAATAGTCAGGTTTGAATAATAACCTAATAAACCTAGTAAAACACGACCTGCGAATTTATTAAACGGCTTCAAACACGATTACAAATTCAATAGATATGCTGCCTTATTAGTATTCTTTATATAAAGAATACTAATGAGGACACGACTACATAGATACTAGTAGTAGTACAACTTTATTCCACGCTGACCCCGTCAACCGTAGCTGATTTCTACGGGGGGCGTGTGCCAGAAAATTGTTTTACATACAGAATATGATAAGTTAAGTCATTTACAGTAATATATAAATTTAAAAGATTTTACAAATGTTTTGAGTTATTTACAGGTAAAATTATAGTTACAAAGATTACCAAGCACTAATGTGAGCAGCGATTTTATTTCGAAAGGAACAAAGTGACTTGCTTTCCCTAATTTCTTTTGGTATAGAATTCCAAATGTTTGCTCCGTCGTACATAAAACTATTTTTCATGCTATTTGTACGTGGTTTTGGTAAATAAAGACCACTTGAGACATCCCGAAGGTGGTAATTAGTTTTCTCACTCTTAAACGAAAATAGATTTGTGAGTGATTTTGGGCCCATTTTGTTTAATTAATAACTTATTAGGGCCCATTTTGATTAATAACTTATTAGGGCCCATTTTGTTTAATAAGTTTTCTTAATAAGTTTTCTTAATAAGTTTTCTTAATAAGTTTTCTTAATAAGTTTTCTTAATAAGTTTTCTTAATAAGTTTTCTTAATAAGTTTTCTTTAATAAGTTTTCTTTTGTTTTCTTCCTTTCAGTTTGGAGTGGCTCCCAGCCCAAAGTACGTAAACAATCGTATAATCTACGTCATTGCTTATATTCATAAGTTTTCTTTAGTTTTCTTCCTTTCAGTTTGGAGTGGCTCCCAGCCCAAAGTACGTAAACAATCGTATAATCTACGTCATTGCTTATATTCAGAATAATTCTTGCCGCTCTATTTGCAGTTTTTGCGGTCGTTTTGATTGAGTTTCACCAAATACATCCCATACTTCACAGCAGTAGTCAAAGTACGGACGAACAATAGTGTTATATATCAAAATAAATGTATCTTGATCGACAACTGTCTTACTAGTATTCTTTGTATAAAGCCGAATACTAATTAGGAATGTTTTATCAGGTTTAAAGCCACTGCACGTGACATATTATGGTTGACATGATTTGGCAATAAGCTTATGAATTATTAATTGTTTGAATGCAATTTCAATGGTCTTACCACAAGGCGTTTCGCGGAAATAGATGTCGTCCAAAGCTATATCAGCATGATAAGAAGGACCACGGATTGCTTCAAACTCCACCTAGACAGAGGACTTCTGTAATGCACAGTGCATTATGCATTATGGGATACGTTTGCGCAATAATTCATTTTTCCATTGTGCGGAAAACCAGCCATCAGAAGTATTGCAAATTAGGCAAAATTTCTAGAAGCCAAAATTTGTTCTACAGTATTTGTTATGGATTAACTGAGGATGAAAACGAACTTGTGCACAATCAAATTATCAAGAATCAAGAATATCAAATGTGAAACTTCTTTTTTTTCGTTACAGGAAGCAAACAAAGTCCATAACAAAAACGTTACGTAGATTTTGAAACGTGTTAACTGGGGCTGGGAAATATACCAGTGAGTTTATGTGAGTGATACTTTTTATCGATGGTGCTGGAATGTTTTTATAAAGCTCACTTCAACTGGACAACATTATTTATTACAACCTAACGACGAGAGACGTGGCGCCCAAAAATTGCCGCCACTGACGTTTCTCCGGGAGGCATTGTCGGTGAGAATTGCCGTTTGCTGCCGCTAATTCAGGGCCCGCGGAGCGTATTAGAGAGGGGGGGGGGGCTAAATCATCAATAAAACCCCCAAGGAAAATGTTCAATTTTCTATTACCTTAAACGCTATTTCCTGCATTTTTGGAGGAACTTTAGCAAAAAATCTCCAAGACCATCGTCATAAAAAGTAACAAAATTTAGACCTTTTTGATGTAAGGTACACATAATGGGGTGCTTAGCCTTTATTCATTTTAATTAGATGCGAAAGTTAAAAATGCCTAGAAAAGGTTTAATTAATTTAGAAAGTTTCATTTAGATTTCTATTTTAATAATTTTGGCTGTCAAAAAAAGTGGGGGGGGGGGGCTAAAGCCCCCCAGCCCCCCCGTCTCCGCGGTCCCTGTAATTCCGATAGTTTGGGAAATATAAGTTTAACCCATTAAACGCCAGGGTACTTCCCTTGACGAGTAAAATTGCCTGGCGTTAGACAGGGCAAAATAATCGAGTAGGGCGCATCATCATGGTGCAATGCAACTTGGTGGGTTAACAAGATACATAGTGTAATTAACCCATTGATTGCCAGCGTTCTCAAGCGTTCTCCCCTTGACGAGTAAAATGGTTTGATGTTAGACAGAGTACAATGATAAAGTAGGGCGCATTAAGGCGCATTGCAGCTTTGTGGCTTGATAAACATATGGCGTTGCTCTAATACGTGGGAGAAAAATATGAGTCATCATGCTTTGAATAAAGGTGACGCATGTATGCCGTTCAATGCAAAATTCTTATACATCTCTTATCATTTTTTTCTGATTTAAAAACCTCGCAAAAGGTTTTGAAACATTATAGCCTCCAAATTTTGTGTACTTGCTAATTTTGACCTGTTCTTTTCATTTCTGGTATTTATAAAGTGCTAACATCAAACTAGATCTCCACACTTGACCTTCACGTTTGAAATATCTAATCAATACTCACCTGATAATCCGTGATGGACACGTTAGAGATGGTCGCTGCACCCGAGATCCATTTGTTTCCCTGATCACCTTTTTTACTCCATAACTTTCTCCTAGAACCCCCATCGTCCTTGATATACACACTAAGTTCTCCCACGGTTTTGCCATACATGGTAGGAGGGCTATATCATTGTATACTGCTGGTACACTTGCTTCAGCATAGATGTAATAATCTAGAAGTTTTACAATCAGGCTGGTGGTTAATAGTGGTGGCGGTTAAAGATAGTGGTGTGATGGTAATGATGTTGATGCGGAGCTGTGATGCAATGTTAGCGCCGTGGTTATGATGATGATGGTGTTGGTGATGATGATGTTGATGTTGATGCGGTGCTGAAGATGGTGATGTTGATGCGGTGCTGTTATGCAATGTTGGTGCCGTGGTGCTGATGATGATGGTGTTGATGATGATGATGATAGTAATGTTCATGTGGTGGTGATAATGGTGATGGTGATGTTCATGTGGTGCTGATGATATGGTGATGGTGATGTTCATGTGGTGCTGATGATGGTGATGTTGATGTGATGCTGATGATGATGAAGGTGATGTTGATGTGATGTTGATGATAATGATTATGGTGATGTTCATGTGGTGCTGATGATGATGATGGTGGTGTTCATGTGCTGATTATGATGATGATGATGTTGATGTTCATGTGGTGTTGATGATGATGATGATAGTAATGTTCATGTGGTGGTGATGATGGTGATGGTGATGTTCATGTGGTGCTGATGACGGTGATGTTGATGTGATGCTGATGATGATGACGGTGATGTTCATGTGGTGCTGATGATGATGATGGTGGTGTTCATGTGCTGATGATGATGATGATGATGTTGATGTTCATGTGGTGTTGATTATGATAATGGTGATGTTGATGTGGTGCTGATGATGATGATGATGATGGTGATGTTCATGTGGTGCTGATGATGATGATGGTGATGTTCATGTGGTGCTGATGATGATGATGGTGATGTTCATGGGGTGCTGATGATAATGATGGTGATGCTCATGTGGTGATGATGATGATGATGATGTTGATGTTCATGTGGTGTTGATGATGATAATGGTGATGTTGATGTGGTGCTGATGATGATGATGGTGATGGTGATGTTCATGTGGTGCTGATGATAATGATGGTGATGTTCATGGGGTGCTGATGATAATGATGGTGATGCTCATGTGGTGTGATGATAATGATGGTGATGCTCATGTGGTGTTGATGATGATGATGATGGTTGATGTTCATGTGGTGCTGATGATAATGATGGTGATGTTCATGGGGTGCTGATGATAATGATGGTGATGCTCATGTGGTGTTTGATGATGATGATGATGGTGATGCTCATGTGGTGTTGATGATGATGATGATGATGATGATGATGATGATGATGATGATGATGATGATGATGATGATGATGATGATGATGATGAGATGTGATGATGATGATGTGGTGTTCATGAGGTGCTGATGATAATGATGGTGATGCTCATGTGGTGTTGATGATGATGATGATGATGATGATGATGATGATGATGATGATGATGATGATGATGTGGTGTTCATGAGGTGCTGATGATAATGATGGTGATGCTCATGTGGTGTTGATGATGATGATGATGATGATGATGATGATGATGATGATGATGATGATGATGATGATGATGATGATGATGATGATGATGATGATGATGATGATGATGATGATGTGGTGTTCATGAGGTGCTGATGATAATTGATGATGATGATGATGATGATGATGATGATGATGATGATGATGATGATGATGATGATGTGGTGTTCATGAGGTGCTGATGATAATGATGGTGATGTTCATGTGGTGCTGATGACGATGATGGTGATGTTGATGTGATGTGGTGTTGATGTTGATGTGGTGTTGATGATGATGATGATGATGATGATGGCGATGTTCATGTGGTGCTGATGATGATGATGGTAATGTTCATGTGGTGCTGATGATGATGATGGTGATGTGGATGTGGTGCTGTTGATGATTATGGTGTTGATGATTATGGTGTTGATGATTATGGTGTTAGTGATAACGATAGTGTTGGTGATGATAATGGTGATAGTACTAGTTGTGGTGATGATGATGGTGTTGTTGATGCTTTGGTTATGGTGATGGTGATGGTAACATGTGATAGTATCGTGTCATACATCGACATTAATGAGGAGCTCAAGATGTGCTTCATCTATTACACGGACGTGACGAAAAAACAGTTTCTTATGTTTTAATTACTTTTGGATTTGTTACCAGTTTATATTTGTTCTCCCATCTGTATCCGAATTCAGTTTTCTTCCGCGTTGCTGATGCTGTTATTTCGTTGACCTCAGAATGACATTTCGTCAAAACGTCTTTCTTCAAGATTGATTGAGAAACAAACTTGAAGTAGGGTTAGCTTAGCGTTAAGGATTACAGTTAGTCGTAGACTTTCCAGAGTCCTTTCCAGGCCCTTCTATGGCGCGCTTTACTTCGACTTCGTCGCTCGGGTCGCGCGCTCCCTCCCCCGCGCCTTCCCTCCCCCATGGTCGACTTGTGGGAAGTCTAGGTTAGTCGTTGCTTTGTCGTTGGCGCTACAGGGAAGCATGACAAAGGCAATTCACTAAGCCAAGCATTGAATGGTAGTGATGATGGTGTTGATGATGGTAAGAATATTGGTCATGATTGTGATAATGATGATGACAATGATTATGATACAGGTGTATTATTTAATCAGGTGTATTATTTAATCAGGTGTATTATTTAATCATGATATCTAACCTAAGCCGGAGGTATGGTCACCATTAGGTCCAGTTGCCGGTGTTTTTGTTTCTCCTTTGTGCGTTGCCCAATAATAGTTCAAATTCTTATTACGAACCCAATGACAATAAGAACCAGATGTGAACTCACAGTTGTCTAGAAATAGAAATAGAACAAGAATTGTACAGCATTAAAGAATATAGAGGCGACATAACAATAGACATACGGGTTCATACGGGTAGAATATGCGAAATTCCCGATTTTGAGGCACCCAATGTAGATACAATGACTAATGTGTATATATAGGTTCACTTGGATTATCCAGGAAAGTGTAGGTAATATCTTCATTCTTTGCAGTTTGTCATGGATAATGTAGGCGCTTAAAACTAATAAAGCTTAAAATTGATAAAGGTCTGCATGATTTTGAAAAAAAAAAGATTATTAGAAAATTATTGGGGGTTTGCTGCAGCCGAAGCTTATTTGATCACATCCTAGTTTGGTCAAAGCATTTGATAATGTACACCTCTTTAAAAAAAACAGCTGAATTCTTGGAATCGAAACGTTTGATGAAACTATTCAGAAACCTCCTAACTGAGTTGAGAATTGTGTAACAAAGCTGTAACAATTGCATTGGTATACACGATAGGATATAACCCACGAAAATTTGCATGAAATATAGGTAACTGCCACTAACTGGGATTTCCAGCAACAAAAGGGTGGCAATGTTCTCTCCCAAACAATATTTTGCAGTGTCTGTCTGTGAGAGAAACTTTTACGCCGTATATTTAGCCATAGGCGTACCGGGCGGGGGGGGGCGGTAGCCCCCCAGTTTTTTGGGCAGTCGGGCAATATTCGATCAACAGTCGGGCAATTTTGGTTTGCAATAAAAAAAAAGGGACAAATTTTGTCAATTTTGTCTAAAATTAAGTAATTTTTTGGCAAATTTTGTTATTTTTCGAAAATTTGTGTTATGTTCCGAAAAATATTGGTTGTCCGGAAAATTTTTTTGACCCCTAAAATGGTACACTGACCGATTTTTTTTTTTTTGGGGGGGGGAAGGTCGCCAAAATAATTTTTCCGGAAAAAATTTTTTGGTACTAGTCGGGCACAATCCTGAAAAGTCGGGCAATTTTCTTTCCGCCCCCCTAATTGTTTCCTTCCGGCACGCCCATGTATTTAGCAATGAATATATAGCGAATATTTAGCAACAAGATTTTTCTAAAAACACAGTGATTTATTTTTGCCAGTTAACACTAGATTACTCGACTATACAGGGTGTATAAAAAAAAGGTAATCGAACTTCAGCGCGCGATTACACGTGAATTACTCGGCGTATGAACAATTGTTTTAATATTCGGAAAGATCAGGCTTTTAGCTGTTGAATGATAAGCGGCGTTTCATGCCAAGTGGAAATAAATATTAAAACATGCATAACAAAAGAACAGCAATTAATCACGAACGTGTCGTAGCTTAGCTAAGATTTATTCCTCCTTAATAATAATTATGAAAATGTGCGTCGTTTATTGAAGTGAAACTCATCAACTTAAGTCCTAAAGGGGGTTCATTTTCAATGGCTTTAGACCCAACTCTCAACGGTGAAAATATGCGATTCAGACTAACATTTTTATCGGTTCGTATCGCATTTGCTCATTTTTTATCCATTTGGCATGAAAAAGATATCATTCAACAACTAAAAGCATGATCTTTCCAAATGTGAAAAATCTCGTTGATACGCAGAGTAATTCGGATACAATAGCGCGCTGAAGTTCGATTACCTACTTCTTTTTTATACACCCTGTATAGTATAGAGTATCAGCTGAGTTGGATCACCCCCTGATGAAGACACTACAGGGTGTCTCAAAAAAACCCAAAATCATTGAAATAACGTATTGTTCGAATTTCAATGCCGTAACACAAAGGATTTTGACAGGGTGATTAATTTGTTTTAAAAAATTAAAATATCTTTGTAAAGTGAACGTTTGTTTGCTCATGGGAATTTAAAAATGCTTCGTAAATTCGTGGGTTTAGTACTTTATGCCTGACATAACAAGTTTACGCTGAGTATTACCATTCATTATAGCAGTTATGTCAATATTTTATGCACTCGTGGGATTAACTTAGTGCTAGGGCATTGAATATCGAACAATACGTCAATTTCAATGATTTTGGGTTTTTTTGAGACACCCTGTAGTCTGGAGTGTCGAAACGTTGTGTCTTTTAATGGACCATTCCCCATGACAATTAACCAAAATTTTGATCTCAACTAGTCTAGACAAAATTCCATCATAGCACGAAAGAGCATCAAATTAGTAATATTCCAAAGTTTCGTTGCGAAATGTTATAAAATGCGGA